GAGGGCCTCGGCTCCCGCCGTTCCCTCAGAGCCGCTCCCCGCGTCGGGCGGCCAAAGCATCACAGACCGCTCTGCGGGGCGTCCGGGGGGAGCCGCTGTGGGGAGCTGGAGGGAGAATGGTGTGCGTCGGCTGGGGAGGAGGGGAAGGGATGTTCATGCCAAATATCCGTGTGGAAGTGTTTGAAGAGCTGTGCAATGGTGGGCTCGCTGTTAGTAAGAACTGGTGTTGCAGCCTGTCTGTTAGTTCCGCTTTAAGGTCTGATGGCGCTCTCTTCCCCACCAAACCTTTCTGGTAGAACTCCTGCAAAACTAAAGAAAAAAAATCAGGTAGAGAAGGTGCTAAACAATCTGTGAGAAAGCTGTTGTTGTACTCCAGAGTGAGGTAACTGAGGAGCTCGATCTGCTTCCTGAACCACTTACAGTGTGCTCAGGTGATTCAAGATGCAACAAGCAAGATTCCACAGCGTTTGGGGTTTTCTGCAACTCTTACATGTCAGTCCAGCTCATGTCAATCTAACCACAGCATAGTCACTATCAGGAATTTTCACTGTTTTGAAGCATCTCAGTTATTGTTAGTCACCATCATGCAAAGTCACCATCTTTGTGGGAGTTCTGATGTGCTTGGTGTTGTCCTTTAATATTGAGGGGGTACATTTCACCTGAAGTCAGTAGATTTCATTTGTAAATGTGAACGCCCTGTGTGTGTATATGTGTGCTTCAGAAGAGGTCTTGACATAGCTAGCCAGAGATTTGTTCTTGGTATGCTGCACAGGGATGTTAGTGACAAACAAACCTATAGGAAAATAGGAATAATTCTAACATCTTAAGGAAGTGAGAGCTGAAGAGGGAGTACGAATTGAAAATCATTCTGTTTTATTGTGTCAGGAAAACTGGGAAGCAAAATATAGGCTCCAGCAATCCAGGGACATGCATGCATACTCTACCAAATCCAGGAAATTGTAGCAAAATTTCACATTTTGTGGGTAAAAGGTTGATCTCTCCAGCATATTGAGGAGAAAATGCCACTTTTCACAGTTATATTTCACCCAGAGCTAGGTGGTTTTGCAGTGTTGGTAGCTCTTGTGCTTCACTTGCAAGTTTACCAAAATTTCATATTTTTTTCAATCCTAGCTGTTAGGTAGAAAGACTGCAGAAGAATCTAATTTTTGTAAAATAGAATGATAAGTATTGTTATGATCCTCTAAAATCTGTGCATTACCTTGCAAGAAGTCATGACCTGTTGGCTGATTACATTGGCATACACAATACAAGTAATGAAACTGATAATGCACCACATAAACTCAGAAGAAAATTGTTGATTGTGTTTTGCTTACTTTCTGGTTATGTTAATTTTTGGATCAAAATACTATATAAAATCTTATCAAATAATTTTTAAATTGAAAGGAGTTTGTGTTAATTTTTACTTGTGAATTTTTTCTTCCCATTTTTAATGAAAAAAAGAATGGATACACTGTTTTCTGTGTTTTGATACACTGTTGTCTGTGCATCTTCTGAGTATATTGTCTGATCTTTTTTGGGGCAGGTGTCTCTAAACTATTTCCTCTGAAGTTACTCTCTTACGTTATGCAGGATCCCTCTAAAATCAGTTTGTCAGGAAAATAAATTTTTCTTTTCTTGCAGGGAATCGGCTCTCTGATGTTCTTCAGCTGCTGGAAGTTGATCTGTTTTCTTGCCTCTTCGTAATGAAGCATTGGAACCCACATGACAAATGAGTGAAATTCTCCAGTCTCAGGTGGGAGTCTGAAAAGATGCAGCGAAGACAGAGTTCTAAGACCCCAAAGCAGCCTCTGCAAGTTCACCATAAAAATCAAACTGATCTCTCTGCATGGCGAAAAGGAGGGAGAATTGACTCTGAAAAAAGTGTCCAGAATCATCAATCTCCTAACGATCAGAAAAATGACAGCAAGCAAGACTCCCTTGAGCAAGCTTTGAGATACTTTGAGAAAGGTAAGAGTAATTTTAAGGTTAGCTACCCAGGATTGAAAAGATAATAACTAATTTCTTAATAACAATAATAATAATAAAACCCCCCTAATTTTACCTGCTGTTTTCCCTTTTTAATGCCTGAACTTTGTAATGTTTCTTTAATGTCTTAAAAGGTTTTCCCCTTTCTGTTACTATGTAGAGAACCCAGCAAAAAGGAATATATGTAGGGACAGTTCAGAGAAGTTTAAAATAGTTCATTTTCAGTTCAGAAGTTGTTTCATCCTTGTGTTTGTTGTCTTTTTTTTTTTCTCCTAGTTCAAGACCGTGTTTCACTGAAAAAGAACAGTGTTCTGCAGAAACACTTGACTACTGTGGAAAGCATTGGCCTGCAAAGAGGGTTACCCCCTGAAGGATTTGATGTATTGCTAAACGTGGCGCTCAGTGGCAAACTTGGTAAAATGTTAATATACTGCTAGCATGTCTTCTGTGAACATCTCTTTCCCCTCTAATCAGACCTGCTTGAGATAATGTGTTTATGGTGACTGTATTGTTAGGTACTTCAGGGTAAAATTAATCTTTCTGGCATGCTTCAGTGTAATTTCTGAGCTCATGCTAAAAATAACCTCAGTTCTTGCTAGAGGGAAGTGATACCAAGAAAAATATTATGGCTTGTTACAAATATTTTTTGAAAAGCTTATTTTGTTTGTTCGTAATTCCAGGTCTCTGAAAGGTTTAAAGTATGTTCTTAGCAACCGTTGTGTCTTTTCCTTGTTGTAACTGTTTGTGTATGTTTCTTTTCCCCAAGATGAAAATAATTGAACAAACTGACATAGTTATATTAGTGAGACTTGCTAAAATTAATTGTCATCCTAACAATCAATTCAGCAGTGTCAGTGCAGCCCTCATGCAGCTTTCTTAGAAATGGTGGCCACCATTTATATTTCTAAATAATGAAATATTCAGTGAAAAAAGCCCTAAACTTTCCCCTCCTTCCCACCCAAGAGGAGCACACAGGATTCCTTCCCCATTATGCAAGTGGTTTAGTGCTTTTCTTAATTTAAAATTACTAGCTTATCTCCAGAACACGAATCTGCTGATGCTTGGCTGACAGTCATATGCTCTTTTGCTGAAGGAATTGGTCATTTAATATTACCAAAAATTTGTGTTACTTTTGGTTGTCTTGCCAAGAGTCTAAAGGCTATTTCAGTACTAAAATACTCGATATTCCATTTTCTTTCTTTAAGCTGGAAAGAAATATTTCTCATAATTGTTTCAGGTATAGGTAAGTTCCTACTAGATTCTTGTGCACTGTTACTTTAAGCAAGGAAGCTCTGAATAATCTTGTCCAGAGGGAATTTTGACCTAAGCTGCAAAACCGTATCAAAGAACCTGGTACATGAGCACCATCTTATTTTAAATTGTTTGTTTTCCAGCTGATACAGTGAATACTCGTTTACTGAAGAGCCTGGTTCCAGCTTCAGTAATACCAGAAACTTCGGTGGTTTCATCTGTATCTTGGCTCTGTGTCAGCAAATGCTCAGGCAACACCCAGGTAACTTAGTAAATGTTTACAGTAGTTATTACTTCTGCACAGGAATGATGAGGACAGATTATTTTCAGGAAGCAAAAATCCTGAGGCTTTAATATACAAGGTTCTTGCATAAGATACTGTCCTTTAGAAAGATTGGCAGAGACACCCATTGCTGGAACAGCAGTGGGAACCGAGGAACACTTTTCAAGTGAGAGTGGAAATTTGCACAGTTCCTGTTTGTCTTGTATCTCTGAATTCCTTAGGAATAGTTTCTCCACCAACATTTCTGTGAAATACTTCAGCTATGTGAGGCATTATTGACCAACTTCAGCAAGGTATCCCTTAGGCTCTGTGTACCTTAGCCGTGGCAACATGACAATGTTAGCAAAACATTTTTTGTCTTTTTTTGTCTTCGTGTAGTCTGTTCAAAGGTTTACATCATAGAATCCTTTAGGTTGGAAAAGACCTTTAAGATTACTGAGTCCAACCGTAAACCTAATGCTGCCAAAACCACCACTAAACCATATCCCTAAGTGCCACGTCTACGTGTCTTTTAAATCCCTCCAGGGATGGCAACTCAACCACTTCCTTGGGCAGCCTGTTCCAATGCTTGATAACCCTTTCAGTGAAGAAATTTTTCCTAATATCCAATCAAAACCTCCCCTGTCGCAACTTGAGGCCATTTCCTCTCATCCTATCACTTGTTACTCCGGAAAAGAGACCAACACCCACCTCGCTACAACCTCCTTTCAGGTAGCTGTAGAGAGCAGTAAGGTCTCCCCTAAGCCTCCTTTTCTCCAGGCTAAACAATCCCTGTTCCCTCAGCTGCTCCTCATAAGACTTGTTCTCTAGACCCTTCATCAGCTTTGTTGCCCTTCTTTGGACACGCTCCAGCACCTCAGTGTCTTTCTTGTAGTGAGGGGCCCTCAGATCATATCTGAGGGTTAGCATATATTCAGAACTGAGCTGCTTTGTCCATTCTGATATGGCAGTTGGTGCTCCTGGCAGACTTTCTTCCAGAGCTGAATTATCCCTGTACTGTTCATCTGTAGCTATCTGGTTGTCCTTGATGTATCCTTAATGATTGTGTCTCTTAAATTGGCTAGTGACTGGTCTGTCTTGCTTTTGTTCATCACTTAATGTAATATGGCTTTTTTCCTATCTGCAGCTGCTTTTTTTAAGATGGCTGATCACAGTGTTTGACTTCATTGATCACAAGGAACAACTTCATGCCCTCTACGGTTTCTTCTTTTCCTTTCTGCAAGATGAGAAGATGGTAAGGAGAGCTGAAGAATATACGGAATTGAAAAAATAAACCTAAATGTTCATTAATAGTGTGCATATTAATGCTAGAATTAGTCTGGAGTAGCTGTTGGTTAGAGACCATTTTCTGATGGCTGGAATTTCTTTTTTTTTTTTCATTTTGCATTCTAAGATTGCTGGGTAATTTAGATTCAGAAACAGGGAAGTACTGTAGGATTATTTTAGTTTCAATGCTGTGGTCTGGCTGCTTAAACATGTTTCCAAGAATTGCTATTCTGCATCACAAACAGAGTGACAGAATATTCTGTCTAAGTTCCCAAGAGTAGCTATGACGCTGCAGTCTCTGGGATTGCCTTTGATGTCAGACATCAGCAGGTGAAGTCTCCCGCTCCTGGGGAGAAACTGACTTGCATACCTTGGGCAAAAAGAAAAAAACCTTTTAGAGCAATGTTTATTTAAAGGTGAGAAACTCTAAATGCTGTTCTACTTGATTGATTTGAAATGTAGCTTAAATGAGAACAAGTAATCAGGAGACTTCTGGTATATGGCAACTGTAAAATCCAGGTGCTGGAATATTGAAGTGTTTGGATTCAGTTCATATTAAGATGATCTCGGCAGTCATGTTAGATATGAAATTGTTAATTTTCTTTCAGTTTAGGATATTTTGTGATTAAGACTTTTAAAGTTCTCAAAGTTCTATTTCTTGCAAAGTTTTTAATTGTTTTAGGTTAACATTATCTTTTCATAAAACTAGATTTAAGTTCTTACTGTTTCTTACTGAAAATAGCATTTTCAGGCATGATGGGCCAATTGGAAAGTGCAGCAGAGTTGGTGTGAAACTAATTTAAGACCGTTACAGCCTCAGCTGTAGTTAGAAGCTCTAATAAATTACTTTGATTCAAAGGTGCCTTTCTTTTTGAAAATGTAATTGTACTTTCACTGCTGACTCCTGAAATATCTAGACCATGTTCCAAAAACCAAGATCCAAGCTCACTGAATAGCTTGATTACTATAGGGACTGCTCATAGTGCAGATAATGTTTCTAAATAAAATTGACATATGTGACATGTAAAAACCATGCTACTTACTAAGGGAAGTAAAATATGCTCTGCCCCAGTGGGGGCGCAGTGATGACTTGAGGCAGCCAACTGAATGAAACAATATTAGCTTGTGAAGCCTGGGTGTTGCTTTTAGTGTACCCTGGTTAGCAGTCTGCACCAGCAGGATAGTTCATTGCTGCCTTTTCTTTGCAGTGCCCCTATGTCTGCCACCTGCTCTACCTGCTGACCAGGAAAGAAAGTGGTGAGTCTATCCAATTGTATGAGATGGAATAACATTTTGTTTCTTATTCTGTTTGCTGGCACTGCCTTTTCTTCCAAAGGAGCTAATACAAAGACTAGCCAATATATTGCTTTTAAGGCAAGGAAGCATGAGCGGTAGTTCAGCCTGATTTGTGTAACACTTTCTGATTTGGAAACCCATCTATTAGCCTAGAAATAAGACTGATTGGTTCTGCTTGCTTTGCTATGACTTTCTATAATAAAAGCGATATTGCATTTTTGTTTAAATGTCTGATACAGTGGTTTTTAAATCCATTATGTTCTTAATTGTATTTCCAGTCAAGCCTTTTCGGATTAGGAGACTGCTTGACCTCCAAGCAAAAATGGTGAGTTTATTTCAAATCTTGTAGAGTTTGAACTGTGGTTAATAATGCAGTTTGTAGGACTAATGTCCTTGCAGGATGGAGAAGAGTGGCTAGTGTCTCAGGACAGGGTTAGGCTTGGAATTGTAGGTTGTAGTCTTTGTAGCATCAGGGCTTGTCTATCTTGCATGTGCATCCCTAACTTTCATTTGTGTTTTGTGAACACATGCAATGACATGCACAAAGCTATACGTTTTATGGCTAGGCGTGGTAAAATCCCTGAAGGGGCAGCTTTATTTATCTATTACCGTCTTTAATTTTCTATTCATCTTCCTTTTCCAAGTGGTATCAAAAATGACTGAGAAATATAAGATTGTAGAGGATCTTGCTCCCTTTTTTAAGAAAAAAACTGTAGCTATGATAACATTTTTGGAGCATTTAGACAGAAGACCGTATTTTTCATAGTTTTGATTGTTAAATTCCTTTTTATTAGAGTTATGACTATAGAAAGTTCCTTCTTCAATCCCCTTCCTATGGTATTTCATTGACACAGTTTCTGTTCTTCCTTTCATTTTCAGTTGCTCATCTATGCTTACTTACTGACATGTAGCTTTAGAAAGCTTTTAGTAATCACTGGGGTTTTTTTGCTTCTGGAATATGGCATTCAGTTTCTATATTAAAAACATACCCCACATGTTTTTCTGCTTGTTCTGCTATTTGACAGGGAATGCAGTCTCATCTTCAGGCTCTACTGTCACTTTACAAACTCTTCTGTCCTGAGCTGGTGACCATAACCCTTCCTGGAAAAATGAAGGTAAGGAATTAGATTTAGTCTATTTGGAACTAGTACTTATGACAGTATTTGTACCAAGCTTTCCATTTAAGCTATAGCATGATTTAGTGGTGAAGATCAATTCTATTTCCTCTTTTCACTGAGTAAAATCAGGTTTAGAGGAGGATTCCTTGCCTTGCGTTTTGTTTCCTCTTCAGCACAATGAGATGATATGGAATGGAATGGCATCTACCTTTATCCTTATGAGGGTTACTTTAATCCTCCTTTTGGTGTTCTTGCTGGTTTTGACTTGTTTCACACAATGTTAAGTTCTTCAGGAAACAAACTGTCTTATCTGTACAAGGCATTGTCCAAATTGCTGACTTTCTCAAGTACAAACAGCAGCGGAAGTCAGTAAGTAACTTCCCACTTGGAAAGTCTATGTCATAGGAATGAGAAAAAAAGTGGGGAAAAATGCGGTAAGCTGATTTATCAGAACCTCAAGGTAACAGCAAAAAATATGACTCCACTTTTATGTGTATGCTTAGACCTTTGACCAAGTAGAATGTATGTAGCAGAAACTGAATATATAACAGAAAATAGCAGCAGGTGAAACCTAAATTCTGCAATAAATTTTCTTTTGGTACTTCAATGGGATAGACTTGGGGTCTGTGGTTTTTTTAGAAAAGACAATTTATATGTAGGCAAGTTGTGTTTCTATAAAAGAAAATTTGTTTTACTTCAATCTGCTTGTGTACTTACACTACTCTATAAATTTATACTTTGCATTGTGCTGCACAGTCATCTGTTGGAGAATTTACATTTTTTCGCATGCACAGAAGTAAGGTAAATAACTAGCAACTAAAACCCAAATACATCTTCAACTGTTTTTATGAACACACTGTGTTAACTTGTATAATAAAAGCTTGATTACGTAGGCCCAAACCAATCTGAATACTTTTGTGGTGATTTGGCACTTGATTAGGATTTAAAGACTGATTGCAATTGAAGTGACAAAAAGTAAGTTTTGTGCAGAAAAGGTGTTGGGTTCATTTTTCCAGTTTTCTTTTTAGCTGTATGTCCTGGTTTTGGCTGGGATAGAGTTAAATGTCTTCCTAGTGCTGTGTTTTAGATTTAGTATGAGAAGAATGTTGATAACACTGATGTTTTCAGTTGTTGCTAAGTACCCTGCTAGTCAAAGACATTCAGCTCAAGGAAAAAAAAAAAAACCACAAACAAACAAAAAACAAACACAAGTGTTGGGAGGGAGCACAGCCAGGACAGCTAGACCAGCTGGCCAATGGGGTATTCCATACCATGTGACATCATGCTCAGTACATGAATGGTAGGCGTGTTCCAGGAAGTAGCGATCGCTACTTGGCTATCGGTCAGAACTGTCTTTATCTCAACCCACGAGTTCTTCTCACTCTTACCCTTCTGATTCTTTCCCTGTCCCACTGGGAGGGGGGGAGGGGAGGGAGCAAGCGAGCGGCTGCATGGTATTTGGCTTCCTGCCAGGCTAAACCACGACAGTCCTTTTTGGCGCCCAACGTGGGGCTTGAAGGCTTGAGATAACGACACATCTGACCCCAACGGGTTAAGACAAATTTGTTATAAGCATTCATTATATCAGTTTAGTACTTGCTGGTCACAATGTTGGTTTATTTGCTCTCAGAGTTGTTGGATCTGTTCTTGGAGTTTTGGTATGTAGCACCATACTGGCTGTCTATACTGCTGATTATCAGTTTTTATGTGGGGTTGGTCATCTCTGGGAAATGGATTAAGGTCATTGCTTTGCTTTTCTGTGTGACACTGGTTTATGTTACGATAAAATTATTGGTCACGAGCCTGTATTCAGCACTGCTATCATTCCTGTCTTCGGGAGCTATCTTTTGGAAACTATTAATAATTACACTTTTTACCTCTTCACCTCGAAGAATGAATTTAGGGGGGAGACAACATAGGACACTTTCTCCCACTTGTTCATCTTCCCTTCCATATCTTCAGAAACTCCTTTTTCTTCTATCCTCTTGATGAAGATGTCCACAATATTCCCTGAGAATTTTGAGTATCCTTGGGATGTTCAAACAAGCACATTCAGGAATACTGTCCAGAGATCAATCCCAGCAACAGACACGGTGGCTACTTCGACCCCCACGACAACTACTGTGGCTACTTTGACCCCCGTGACAGGC